CTCACAGATGCACCCAAGGACCACTATGCCATCCAGCATACAGCAGCGCAGCTCGGCTATGGCTGCCTGCTCGTTCCAGCTCGCCTGTGAGCGCGTGAGCCTGGCAGGCGATAGCGCAGCAGCGCTTGCGCACAAAGCAGCCAGTGCCCGAATGCCAAATGCGTAGGCTGGCCCTTTCCTAAATGGAAGTGGCCAGCCTGGCTGCGCTGGGCCCCTGCCCAGAAGCTTCAGGCAGGCTCAGGGAGGCTGAGCCTCAGACCAAATGAATCAGGCCCAGGGCCACCGACAGTTACCCGTGCCCAACTGCCCGCTGTCTGAGTTGGGTCTATGCTGCGTATCTCGCCCAGGGCCTGACTTAGATGCAGTCGATAAAGGAAGCCAGGGCCTGGGTGCCTTCAACCAACTGGCGCTGCGCAATTGCCTGAATTTTCCCCAGTTGCGAAGTAGTCCAAAATCGGCCTCTTGTCATCTGTCGGGCCTGCCTTCACTTAGGGCGGTCAGCCTGTTGCAAATAGGGTCCCAGTAGGGCTTGTCGAGGCCTATGCCTCGCAGATGGAAACGAGATCAGGAAAGATGGAGCTGGGCTTCAGAACAGGCTGAAATAGACCGCCGCCTGGCCAAGAAAAAGAAAGAAAAAGAACTGAAAAAGAAACAGAAGTAAGTAGAATTGAAAAAGAAAGCTCAGGTGGAGGAAGAAAGGATAAAAAAGGAGTTAAAAGAAAAGATGGAAAAAGAACTGTAGGAAGAGTTGAAGAATATTGAGGAAGAAGATGAACCTGAAGATGAAGGAGACAGACTCATCAGACATCGGAGTGAGAGAGGTGAAAGCAGTCAGGCTGGTGGGATAAGCATTCAGCTACAACCCCTGAATTGGTATGATCAGTACAGTTATTCAAGCGAAAGGGTTGAAGAGACAGACGAGGAACGGGATACTTTCATTTCGAAGTTGGCTTCAATTGAAGATAGGAAAGAGAAAGAACTTCTGCTAGAGGAAAAACGAGCAGAACTGGACAACAAAATGTTAGCAGCAAAAAGACAAGAGTTGGAAGAAAGAAAAAAGCTGCAGACAAAGGGTGAAAGGTTGCAAAGGGAATTGCAGGCCCAAAAAGAAAAGCAGACGGCCACTGAAGTACAACTTGCCCTCTTGACCGAAACTGTTCTTCACACCAAACAGGAGCTGGCTGCATTAAATAGGACCATGCAGAAATTTGAGCACAACCAGTCCGAGTTCGAAGAGGTCTGGAACACTTTCTTGCAGAAATCCGCTCACAGATCAGCACATGCAAGCCTACATTGAAAAGTTAGATGAGTGGATCAGCAAAACATTCACCCCCGCCGTGATTGATAAAATAATGCGTGGGAGCGGAGGAGGTGGAGATGGAGGAGATGGAGACAAGAAAAAGAAGGGCGTGCAGCAAGAAGAAGCCAAGTAAGAAAGATCAAAGTGAAAGTGTCGTGGACTTACACCTGCAAGAAGGAGGAAAGTTTGTTGCATTGGATTGCGGCAGTGGAGTCCTACGTCTATGGACAGCGCATTCCGTATTGGGATAGGGTCCTTATGGCCAGTTCATGTATGGCCAGAGATGCAACGAGTTTCGCCATTTCTCTGCAAAAAGAAGCATCTTGTCAGACATTGATAGAATATTCCCAGCAAACTTGAATTGAAGACTTCTTTAAAGCAATCAGAGAAAGGTTTGAAGACAAGAACGTAGCCCGAACGACTGAAATGCTAATCCTGAACATTGCAGATCGGAAATGGGAAAGTGTGTCCGCGCTCAAGGCAACCATGGACGAACTCTTGCAATGCGCTGAACATGGACTCACCCCAACACAGATCCTCAACAATTTTGCTAGGGCACTGCCCGATCCTCTCCGTACTCAACTATATCCCCATACTAAGGAAGAGGGGGGGATGACATACGAGAAATTTAGTAAGATCGCGATAGATCATGCTGGTTTCCTGGCAGAAGCAAACCATTGTCATTATTGGAAAGACCTGCAAGCCGTGAAAAAGTGGCAAAATCGCACAATCTCGGGAAGTATACCGGGAAACGACAACCTCCTTCTGACCTTTGAGGAAGGAGGTGTCGAAACTCTCTCATACGACCAGATAGACTATGGCTTACAGGGAGATGTACACAACACACCGGTAGTTCACGAGGGGGATTACGCGATCGTTGCAGCCCGCGGGGGAGGGCTTCAAGGAAGAGGCTGTGGTAGAGGAAGAGGCGGCGGCGGATGTGGAGGTAGAGGACCAGGCACCCAGTGGGGTGGTAGCGAAGGTAGCTACTACGTGGGTGGAAGGGGCAATGGTCCCTCGCAAGGTGGCCGAGGACCCAACTCCACATGGGGAAGAGGAAGAGGCGTGGAACGGAAAGTGGGACCGACCATATCCACCCCATCATGACATGCCCGAAGGCAGACCTTGAGAAAAGATGGGGATAACAGAAAAAGTTTGGCAAGACAGGAAGACCGCCGGACAGTGCCTCAAGTGTGGTGACCCCGACCACATTGTTACCTTTTGTCCAAACTACAAGCAACCAAAAGGGATCAACCATTAAGGGTCTCAGTTGCCTCTACAGGAACTTCGAACGCAAGTAGACTGAATTCCTCCCATTCGAAGGTTCCCGTCGAAGAAACTGAAAGAAGAAGATCTCCCTGTACCATGAATCTGGTAAGGAAAGCAGCTTAGATCATTGTTGCATGACTGCCCCTGCGTTCGCCCGTCATATAAAGAAATATAACCTGTTTTGTAACGAGCGTGAGGCTGAGGGTGAGCCAAGGGAGAGGAGAGAGAGGGGGAGAGTGAGAGCACACACACACACTCACTCACTCGACACGACGGACTCGGACTGAGTATCGGACGCAGACACAGTGGCAAGGCACAAAGTCGAAGTCTTGGATTCCCGAATGCCGAAAACAGCAAGTCACATTGAGTACGAGTACAGCAGCAGAGAACTGGTACGAGACTGGTCCCCGTACCGTACGGGGAGCTGTTATAAGTACCGGTGACACGTACGGTACTAGGGGCATTTCTGCAAAGGCCCTGAGGGCAGAACTGAAAAATGCAGTATTTGAAAGTGGCGCCCGAATTGCAGCACGGCGCCAGTTGTCCAAAATCCTACGGTACCAAAGGAGGGGTTTGGAAAAAGGGTGCCAGGCCGAAAACGGGATGCAGCCGAAACAGCAAAAGATAGACCAGGGATCGAGCCCTGGCGAAGTCCGTAACACTATCCCCTCCCTCTAGAAGGCAACGTCCCGGCTGCCAAAAATCATGAAGCAATGCTGAAATCTGTGAAGGG